GGATCCTGTTCTCATTTTCCTCCTTCCCCAGCTTAAATGTCATGGTCTGTCATTTTAACTACTCTATTGCCAATCATTCTAACCTCTGTCGCCTCATCTTCTTTTCATTAAACCCAGCTGGCAACGCTCTAACCCTGGATGAATCTAACATCTGTCTTTGCCAGGCCTCCACCTGGGCTGTTGAGTGCTGGTGATGAAAATCTCACAACAGGGCAGATAGATATTGATATAAATGCATGGCTGCACCTGCAAATGGACCTGCAACTTTGGCTAGAAGTCCCACGATGATATCCTGCCAGCTATCTCTTTCATTCTGCCCAAAGCGTGTTTTAAACCTGTAGTCTTTTCAGACATGAAAAGATCTCACTGCTTTCTCCTTCCACTCCTGTCTCCTCACTCACAGAGGTAAACTTTTCTTGCACCTTACAGAGAAAACCAAAGCCATTTGAAAAGGAACTCTTTCAACTTTCACCAAATCCACAGATTCAGATGTACCCATGAAAGAACTGAAAAACATGGCCACAGTATTTTACACTTGCTATTACTGAGAAGTGGAGTATACTTGCCCCTCTTTGAATCTGGGCTGGTCTTATATCTTGTTTTGACCTAAACTCATTCCTCTCAAAGTCGTTCCCATCTCGGTAAGTGGTACCATCTTCAGGAGTCATCTTGATTCCTTCCTTTTCTTCCCATCCAACTGAGCAGCAAGTCCTATACCTACTTGTCCGTCTGTCTGTCAATCTCTCTTTCAATCTTGTCTCCTGCAATCCATTGTTAACATAGCAGCCAGGATATTTTTAAAGTATAGATCACATCTGGTGGCTCCCTTGCTTACAACCTTCCAATGACTTCCTGTTGTCCTAAAAATAAAATCCAAGCCCTTACTATGGTCTAAAAGGCCCTGTATAATCTGGTCCCTGCCTACCTCTTTGTATTCATCTCACACAACCTCCCCCCTTACTCGTGACACTCCTATCAAACAAGTCTCCTTTCCCAGCTTAAAGTCTTTGCACTTGCTGTACACCATACACCACGTGGATTAGCCTGAGCTCCCACCTTAGCAGGTTTTTCTCCTCATCATTCAGGTCTCACTTAAGCATTACCTCAGAGAATCCTTGACCAGCCACCCAATCTGAAGTAATCTCCTTCGGGCTCATTTTCTATCACATTGCTTTGTCTCAGAGCCTTCATGGTACTTAGAGCTTTCTCCCTTCTCCTGTGAGTCCCCACCCCATCTTCCTCATCCCCCTGAATGAAGGAGCTCTCATATTCTTATATGACCCTGCCCCCATGGGCACACTTCGTGGATCCAGGAATGGGCCCCTGACCTAGCTGGATCAGAGCTCTTCCTGTGATTTTTAGAACTGGAGTTGAGAAACAGAGTCAATTCTTCTCTAACGATAGGTGTCTGATGCCAAATTCAGCAACTGTTCGTGGTAATCTTTCCAGTCATGTGAAAATGAGTCTATAAGAACAAATGACATTCACATGAAGGGGAGAAAGAAAGTTACTTTTGAAAGTGCTTTTTGGTTCTGGTTGTTTCCAAGTTTTAAAATCATATTCTGGATGCATACGGAGTTAATTGAGAAATTTTGCATCAATATTTTCTTTGAAAAAATTTAAAAGGCTAGAGTGTTGATTGACCTAACCTGTTCTTTCTTGTGTATAACACTACTCAAATGTAGATGTTTAATATGTGCTTTTTGTTGATGAAGATGATGAATATTCCACCTGCAGAAAGGAAGGTTAGAAACTTTCTGCTTAAAGCACACTCTAATATCCAGCGAGAAAACAAAAGTAGTAGGGATGAGAAGTGAGCAACTCTGAGAAGACCCACTTGGGCTTTCACATCAATACATCATGATATATATAGCACCAAATTCTTTTCCACACTGCAAAAAAATACACATTCAGAGGCAAGACAGAGGTAAGATGTTAAATGTTAAATGTTAAATGTTTTAACATGTCCCCCCCCAACTTAAGGTCCATTTCAACCTTTATAGGAATCAATCTATTCAACACATGCTAATCAAATATAATTATGCAAACTATGTTCTGGGCACTTTAAGAGATACAGAGATGAGTAAGTCAGAGACTCAGTCATTAAGGTGTTCATTAAAGGACGTATTTTTTTAAGTACATAAAAGAAATGACTAAAATACAAAGTAGCTGTGATGTTTCTACATGAGTTACAAATAAAGTATAATGGCGCCAGGGCTGGAGTAAAAAAAAATAAAAAAAAGGAGGGGGTTCATATTCAGTTGTAAGAACCAGGAAAAGCTTCATGACTAAGTTAGGGATTTGAGTTGTACCTTGGAGGATGGGTAGGACTGCAAAGGTCAGAGATGGTATGAGGAAGCATCCAGCCTCTGAGGACAGGCCAGACAAAAGAATATTTGGCATGAGTATGAAGGACAATGTGCAGCTAATGAAGGCCTGAACTCCTAGGATTGGCAGTAAAACAACAGAATGTCTGTCTCTTGGCATTGCTATTCACTGGATTTGGGACGTTTGGGGTACGGAATGATCATTTTCAGAAATTTTAAGTTGAGATGACAGCAGAATATTCCCTTAGGCCGAACAGGAGGCAGTTGAAATGTGGGGCTGGTGTTTGGGAGGCATGTTAAGACTGGAGATGTTAAATTTAGAATGTAAATAAAACCACATTTATGAAAAGCACGAGCATTATTTGCACATTGTTTGGAACACGAACCAATGAGGGTCATATACTCTGCACCATCATGACTTCCAGTGACCGTGTAAAGAGACATGTGATACCAGTATAACCTGAAATTGAAAATCAAACTGAAATGCCAGCTCCGTGTTCCTGATATGTTCAATTCATTTAAGTAACAATTAAGTATGAACCCTCATCTTTTTTTTTTAATTTTTTTTTTTTTTAGGATTTTATTTATTTGAGAGAGAGAGAATGAGAGATAGAGAGCACGAGAGGGAAGAGGGTCAGAGGGAGAAGCAGACTCCCTGCTGAGCAGGGAGCCCGATGTGGGACTCGATCCCGGGACTCCAGGATCATGACCTGAGCCGAAGGCAGTCGCTTAACCAACTGAGCCACCCAGGCGCCCTGAACCCTCATCTTTTGATCTATCGGAAATCCATTCTAAAAACAGATTCCATTCCTCAAGTTTTTGGAAATCTAACATGTGCCCAGTCTTTCCTAGTTCATGGCTTTGGCTCTGCAGGCCACTTCTTATCTTTCATAATTGAGTCTCGGGCTGCTTCCCTCTCCTTTCCTCCAAGCACAGACACAGCTAAGACCAGGCTGATAGCCTAGGGATAACAGAAGGGCATTACCACACAGAAAAGAAAAAACCTAAAATTGGATATTAGATGTTACTGCTCCTAAGACATAGACCAAGCTCCCCTCCACGTCCCTAAGGTCTATCTCTTCCTTAGCTCCCCATCCTGATGCTGTGTTCTGCTTACCTCAAACCATCATATTCTCCCAACCTGGAGTTCAGATCCCTCTTTCACCCTAGCGCTGGAGAGGGAAGCAGGCCTTTCTCTGCCCTCTTCCAAGGCTGGCTTCCTTTCCTGCCCTAGGATTACTGACAGTAAGAATACTGTTAATGAGCTTGACTATAGTAATCATTTCACTATGTATGTCTGTATATATATATATATATATATATGTATGTATATGTGTGTGTGTGTGTATACAGACATACACACACACAACACGTTGTACATCTTAAAATTATACAATTTTTTTTAGGGGGCGGAAGAGGGAGAGGGAGAGAGAGAGTCTTAAGCAGGCTCCACACCCAGTGCAGAGCCCCACGTGGGGCTCGATCTCATGACCCTGAGATCATGACCTGAGCTGAAATCCAGAATCTCACTTTCACTCATGTTTGTAATATGTGTCATTATGTTGGTATCATTGTGCAGCCCTTATCAGATTGTGAACGACAAGAATACACCAAGTAATAGTCTGTGAGGTGTTTACAAATATATAGACTTTTTTCGATAATGATAATACCCTTTAATATCTGGAGATCGGAAGTGGAATAAAATGTGGTTCTAATGCAAACTAGCCTCCTTCGCACGTAAATTTCTCTGGTTAAGTTTATGGCCCAAATCACACTCTAGCGATATTGCAGTAAGAAAAAAAGAATATTTTTCCTCCAAGCGATTGAAACTTATCTCACCTTGGACTACTGATCCCAGCATGCAACGCTCCCGTATTACCACTGTGTGGGGTGGAGTCATAGAAGGGGCGGCAACGACGGTGGCCTGTGCATTCTGGGCATTGTAGTCTGGGGTCCAGGCCGCCGTCGGGACAATCCACGTGGTGCGTCTGGCGGCAGCTTTAGGCAGTGGGTACCCTGCTTCTTCCACCCGGTCCTCGAGCTGCGGACCCCGGCGAGGCCAGACCGGCGCCGCTGAGCAGGCTGCAGGGAGGCCCGGAGGCAACCCGATCTTTCGCGACGTTTTTGCGACAGCCGTGGCCGTGTTCCGCGAGTCCCCTCCCTCCCTCCTCTGAGGAGGTACCGGCTGTTGTGCGGCGCTGCCTTTCTGTTTGAGTGTATGGGAGAGAGAGTGAGTGAGTGAGTGTGAGCGTGTGTGTGTGAGAGAGGGTGAGGCGTGAGTGCGAGTGTAAGAGGAGGAGAGCCCGCCGCGGCCGCCCCGCCGCTCCCCGCAGCGGGAGCAGAACGCGCGGCAGCAGCGAGCAGGAGAGCCGGCGCCCCGGGAGCCCGCGGGGACAAGGGCAGAGACGCCGCTCCCCACCCCCAGCCCTCGTCCCTCTGCTCTCCTTCGCCCGGGGGAACCTCCCCGTCCCCCCACCCTCCCGGCCGGCCTCTGCCCCGCCGTCCCCCTGGATGTCCCCGGCGCTCTCGCGGGGCCTTCTGCTCTTGCCGCATCAGTCGGGCTGGTGCTGCGGCCGCCGGGTGTAGAGCGGGCGGGTTCCCGGGGGCTGCGGCTGCCGGTGCTTCCCCGGTCCCCACCCCTGTCCCCCGGCCCCCCGACCCAGCTCCCCGGCCCCGGAGGCTGTGACAATGGACTATGACTTTAAAGTGAAGCTGAGCAGCGAGCGGGAGCGGGTCGAGGACCTGTTTGAATACGAGGGCTGCAAAGTTGGCCGAGGCACTTATGGTCACGTCTACAAAGCCAAGAGGAAAGATGGGTGAGTGTTTGTGTCTGTGCCGGTGTCCGCGCTGGGCGGCGCTCCGCAGGCCGAGGCAGGTAGCCCGGAGGGAGAGTGGGGCGCCGGCGTGCGGGTCTCCCACTTCCTCGACACCAGCATCTGGCCCTGCCAGCCAGGTTTGGGGAGGAAGTGGTGTACGAGGGATCCAAACCCACGCGAAATTCTGCGTGCTGCTGCCTCTGTGTTCTACTTTGGTGGCTAATAGGGAAAAGGAGCTTTTAGTCCATGGGCTGTATACTTTTCAAGGGTTTCGGTTATAGATTTAAAAAAAAATTGTAGTAAAACGTCAGTTTAAATGATTTTCGGGGGGGCTCAATTTATTATGGTAACCTTCTGGGGGATTTCCTCACGCCTCTCGAGTGACATCCATCAGTCTGGAAGGGAAGCTGTGATCCTTTCCCCCACCAGTTTGTGATTGATTTATTACCAAATTTGGATTTTATTTGGGGGAAAGAAAGCAGCAAGTAAATGTGATGCTGAAGAGTTCTTCATAGTGATAATCTGTAACATAAATGTAGCAATTGCTATTTAGATATCATTAACCTGTGAGTTTTACGTAGAACAATGGGGGTTTGGTGCAGGGTGGGTGGTGGGGAAAAAGGCAAGGGACAAATAGGGACTATCTTGTTCAGGCCTGTTCCCCCAAAATTTAGTAGTTGGCAATGAACTGTAAATAGTCTCTTTGCTTTAAATATTTTACCCTAGAAATAACTTAATTAAGTCTATGACTGGTAATGCTTCCAGTTTAGTTTCTTAAACAGGCAAGTGAAGTGTTCATTTTTTCCTTTGTCAGTAGATGAATGTCGTGTAATATTGACAAAAGAGAAGGGAATTCTTAGTTGAGGGGAAAATATATTTTATTAACTCCATGTTTTCCTCTTGTAAAAACGTATGTTGTCTCTGTTGCCTTTGACAGTATAGAAAATTGCTGGAAAGATAATTTCAGAGTTTATTATATAATCTTTAGGTTTCAGTGTAAACAAAGTAGGTTTACTTGAATATCACTGTTAATTTGTTAGCTGCTGTTCCAGGTTTAAAATAATTGCTTTTCCCCCCCCCAAATTAGGTAGAAGGGTATGTTCAGAACTGTATTAGCACTAAAAAAATGAAACCATTCATAAACCTGAAGTAAGTTGGGGGGAGCCATATTTATAAATACTTTAATATTCTGGATTGGAAAAAGAAGTTATATTTATTCAACGTTTTTCTTAGATTTAGTAAGATATCTTTTTAAAATAACTTAAAAGGGACTCTTGAAGATAGTGATTCTAATAAATTTGGTACGTGGCATTTCAGTGCTTATATGCAGCAGTTAAAGCAGTACAGATATCTGCAAAAGATACGGATTTGAAAACTTGATACTCTGTGTGCTGCATGTATTTAAAAGTACTTAGTGGGATGGATAATCTGGTGACATTTGAGAAATCAGCGTCTGGAGATACCTACTGTTGACTCTCATTTATATTTTTCATTGAAGAATTCTGACATATTTTTAAAATTATCCTTCTCATATAATATTTTTCAAAAGCCTTAAACCATCTCCCTTTCCCCCAGTATTATGTAATTTGGGGACATATTCAGAAAATCCCCAATCCCATGAGATTAGACATAGTAGTACATTTGACTAGTCTGTCATCTGCTTTATAGAATTCTGGTGACATTAAATTATTTTTAATCTCTCTGAGAGAAGCCAGTTCTATTTTCATAAATTACCAATTTAAGCTAATAAAACATAAGTTTATTAACTTTGATTTTATATTTTGTTTTAAAACTATGATATTTTTTATTGGCAAGAGGTACTTTTAACCACATTTTATATCTCATGGTTAGGTTTTAATTTAGACCAAAAATAATTTTAGAAGAATTATATAATTTAAAAATAGCTAAATGTATAGTATGTGAACATTTCTTAGTCATTTGTGATAGCTAAAAAGTAGCATTGCATTTTGGAAAAAAAAAACTTTATTTATAATTCTTTGGGCTTGTTTTCCAGCAACCTTTAATGATTTTGTTTATAGGATGAAATTTAAAAAAATAAAAAAGGATCAAATGTCAAGAGAGTTTTAAAATTACTTAAGACAGTTTTTGTTTTCCAGAGGGAATATTTTTGGTTTGACTTCTATAACCTCACTCTGGTAAAATACAGCATTGTATTTATGAGGTTCTTTTGATCTTATGTCAGTGAAATGTAATTTAATGCATTTTAGTCCTGGTAAAATAAAATTTGTGGCTGTTTAATCTTTTGTAAAAAGATGATGATGAAATAATTTGTTTCTAGTATTGATTTACTTTCCAATTAAATTATACACTCTGTAACTGAAATTTCAGAGTACTCTAGGAACCCAGACAATAACACCTTCAAAGAGAATCCTGAGATTTACAATAAAATAGGTTTTGTTTAGACATATTTGACTATTAAAATGAACGTATGTAAATGTTGTATCCTTTCAGTTGTTCAGCAAGCATCACAGAACATGAATACATAGTAAGAGAATTTAGACCAGAAGAGTTAGCTTCTTAAATTATTTTTAGGAAATAAAACAGCTCAAAAGGTCATTTCTTTGACTTAAAGAATTATTAATACTCTCCTGCTAGTATCCTACACTTATGATAAACTCTGCATTTTAAGGAATGTGGGAAAGGAGGAAATACTTTATTTGAGGCATGATTATATATATGGAAAAAGGGCCTTTTATAATTGTGTTAATTTCAGATTCTAACAGAATTAAAACATAAATGCACAATAAATCTTGGAAATAATTTGCTCTCACTATCACCATAAATGAGATAGAGAGTGTCCTTTGTGTCTGAACACCAAAAGGGTACTCAGTAGGAAGCAAGGAGATTCATTTTCTTTCTGAGTCAGTTGCGTTTCCTCTTTGCAGAATTTAGGCAGCCAAACTCATTTTGTTCGAAAGAATGGAAAAGTGCAAGAAGACAGAAAACAATTTGTGTTTTTAAATTCTAAACTCTTATTATAGGGAATGGACATTTCTAGAATTTAAAAATCATTTTAGATAACTAGAGTTTGATCTCTAAAAAAGAAAAGCAAAAGGAATTCTCTTGAAGTGTTCTTAGTTTGCTGCATTCTATGTTCAGAAGAACAGATAATATATAATTGGGTTGATGTATGTGTTTATGTGAGAGAGAGTGAGAAATATAAAGAAAACTTTGTTGGGGCACTTTTGTAGGCAACCCAGAGATTAGTAGGCAGTAATACTGATAATAGCTAAATTATTGAGTAAGAACTAAGTCCTCGGTAAAGCCCTTTACATTCATCATCTGTTTAATCCTTCCAAGTACCATACCCGAGTACCATATCAGGTCAGTTCTGTTTTTCAGTTTTACAGGTGAGGAAACTGTAAGAAAGGTTAAACTGTTAGAAAGGTTAAATTTGCCCATGGTTATACAACTAATTAAATGTCGGAGCTGCAATTAGGGGATTACAAAGAGGTCTCTTACTCCAGAGTCCATGCTCTTAACCATTATGCTTCATATAATTAATATATTAAATAAATATAAACCTAGACATGGAGATTTGGTGTTTTAGTGGGTCATTCAGAAAACATGAATACCTTATCGTAGGACTAGGCTTTTCAATTAACTGGTATACTTTTTAAATACATTTCTGAACAGCCCTGGTTTTTTTCAAGTGCATCAAGTGTGTATGTAGATACGTGGGTATATCTATACATACACACATACATGTATATGTCTACAAATATACACACACATATACATACGTGTGTGGAGGGGGAACCAAACTCTAATAAGGCATGTTAAGATAAGAAAGTTCTTCATCTAGTGGGAAAAACTCTTAAGTTGGGGAGACTAGAAAACTGAGTTTGAGTTCAGACTCTGCCTCCGATTACCAGTATGACCTTGGGTAAGTCACTTGCCTTTTGTAGACCTTGGTTTCCTTATTTGTAAGATTAGAGGGTTTGAGTTGATAATTTTTAAGGTCTTTTCTAGTATTATGATTTCAGAAAGTAAAAATTATGAATATAAAATGTAATACTTTTGCAAGATGAGCTAAACAACCACTAAAACAAATTTTACTTTAGACAGTGATACACTTTTATGTTTCTTAGTGTCAGGTCTTAATGTGGGTTCTCACCAAATGCGTAAAAGAAGATAGGTCAACTTCCAAAGACTTACCAGCTACTTTACCTGTCTTATCCATCATCTTTATCTCTTCAGATGTTGGGATTTATGGGCTAGAGCTTGCTCCCACTCCTGTGAACCTGAGAATTTGACTTAAAGAATTATTTAAGTGGCTAGCGCAAGGGACTTTTCTGATTCAATCTGCATTGGAGCTTTAATTCAGTTTTATTTATTTTTTTGTGGTTTTTCGATAAGTTTTTAATTTAATTTAATTATGTTAATCACCATACATCATTAGTTTTTGATGTAGTGTTCCATGATTCATTGTTTGCATATAATACCCAGTGCTCCATTCAATATGTGCCCTCTTTAGTACCCATCACCAGGCTAGCCCATCCCCCCACCCCCCTCCCCTCTAGAACCCTCAGTTTGTTTCTCAAGAGTCCATAGTCTCTCATGGTTTGTCTCCCCCTCCAATTACCCCCCCTTCATTTTTCCCTTCTTACTATCTTTTTTTTTTTTTTTTTAAACTCTAATGTATTGTTTGTTTCAGAGGTACAGGTTGCACTACTGGGTATTTACCCCAAAGATAAAAATGTAGTGATCCAAAGGGGTATGTGCACCCCGATGTTTATAGCAGTAATGTCCACAATAGCCAAACTATGGAAAGAGCCAAGATGTCCATCAACAGATGAATGGGTAAAGAAGATGTGGTATATGTATACAATGGAATATTATGTAGCCATCAAAAAAACCCCTGAAATCTTGCCATTTGCAACGACATGGATGGAACTAGAGGGTATTATGCTAAACGAAATAAGTCAATCAGAGAAAGACATGTATCATACGATCTCACTAATATGAGGAATTCTTTT